CTTAAGTAAACCTTATTGGTTCCCATACCTCTAGGATCAAATATAAGCTTGTTTGTCTGGAACTGGGTTCTTGCTATTTTTCCATTCTTTTTATATATAACTTCCCTCCATTTACACTGTAGTCCATCCGTACTTGCCTACTTGTAGCTGTCCCCCAACTCTCACGAGTGGCTCCAAGAAACTGTAGCATGGGGGCAGCTAGGTGGTGCAGTGGATAGAGCACAAGCCCTGAAGTCAGGAGGACCTGAGTTCAAATCTGACCTCAGACCAGACATTTGACACTTACTAGCTGTGTGACCCTGGGCAAGTCACTTAACCCCAATTGCCTAAAAAAAGAAAAAGAAAAAAGAAAAAGAAACTGTAGTATGCGTAATGGCCACATCCTGGTAAAACTGTTTCTGCAGATGGTCTAAACCAGGTTGAAGGTAACCAACAGTCTTCAAACCTGCTGGTGAATTAAGGTATGTCTACTCCAACCACGTGAAGACTTCCTCTGGTAGGATGGGCATATGAGAACAATTTGTTCCATTGGCCATGAAGGTGGCTGAACCAGGCTCTGTGGAGTGCTTAGATTAGAGCCTGGTTAGACATTGAAAATGCCCAGGTCATCCACTGCATCCCAGGCCATCTCCAGTCATGTTGACTTTTGTCTTGCCACTGGACTTTAATGATTCTGGAAGAGAGAGTGAGGCTGACAACTCTGGACAAGTCTGCTTTGCTTAGATCCAATTCAAGTGCAAGTTAAGACATCATCTCATGTTGTAATTGGTCCTCTTAGAAAATGAAGGACAAATAACAACAACTTGCTTCTTTTAATACATAATGTTCTATCTCCTCCTTGTACATTTTCTCTGGCTGTCTCCCTATCTCCACCACTTAGAATCCTTGGTTTCCTTCAAGATTCAGGTCAAGTATCAATTTCTATAGGAAGGCCTTTGTGATATTTCTGTTAGTTAGTAGCATCCTCTCTAAAGTTACCTGGTAGAGCTACCTATATAAATGTATACATTGTCTCCCTCATTAGAATGGAAACTCCTTGTGGGCTGAGGCTGTTTTTGTATAAGCAGTGCTTTGCACAGTTCCTAAAAAATAATAAGTGCTTAATAAAAGCTTGTGGATTAATCGGTTGATTGTATTTTATAGATGTTGGTACCCTTTAAATTCTCGATATCACAAGAATGACAATCATCCAAATAGTTTTTATATACTTGATAAACTAATTTTAAAATTTTGGAGGTGAAACTGTATTCCTCCAGGTAAGAAAGCATATCTATTCTTTGTTTATAAAATAGACAATCAGAATAAGCCTGCGTCCTTCATGTATATTAGACTACTAACTAGTTGGCCTCATAGATCTCATCACATGCTTGCAGTTCTTATGATTCAGATAGAACAAAAAAAATCTTTCAACAGATAGTTATTTTTACTTAATTACATTGTTAGGGATTGATTCCAAGTCTAAAAATGTTGTATAATATACAAATCTACCATCCTCTATAAGACCTGTTTCACACGGTGAAGAGCTAGCTATAGGGAAACCACCAGACATTTTGAATTTGGATGAGATGGACCTGAGGTTGTAAACATGAGGCTTAGCATAACAGGGTAGGAGACCAGAAAACTGGTGATCCCCTCTTTGAGGTCAACGTCCTGTGCTCATATCCTTATTCAACAACTCTCATAAACCTAAATGACCTTGTTAATGATTTTATAAAAAAAATTCAGCTAAACTTTTGGCTTCTACACTAAATAGATGGAATATCCAGCAAGTAACCATCAAAATATGTTGAAAACATGAAACTTCTCTTAGGAAACATTAAGTATGAAATGTACTTTTGACATATCTGAAAATACTTATTCATTTACAAGGCTAACAACTTGTGTATACCAAATAACTGTTGCTTTATTTGTGAAAAAGGGAGGGAAGAGGAGGAAAAGAGGAAAAAGAGATAGAGAAGAGGGGAGAGAAGAAGGGAAGGAGAAGGAGACCTTACTTCAAAGGAAATAATTGATTCCAGGAAAGACAAATGTGGTAAATTGGTAACCACTGGTTATGTTTTTTGGGGAAAAAGAATTCCAATTATTCATGATACTGGTTTTCTTTAAAATTTTGTTCAAGGTAATGTATTTGAAATGGTGAAGGTTTTTGTTATCTGAAAAATAAATTTCTAAGAATCAGAGAGATATTTGTAGGTCCCTCAATAAGAGAAATAATGAAAGATGAGTATTTTAAAGAATAATTGAATGAAGGTCTCTTCCAGGTCTAAATCTATGATTTTATGACTCAACATTGAAGGAGCTACATGGAAATTTTTTTTAAGTGATAGAAAACTCTTTTGTGGAAACTACAAGGCAGAACATTACCAAGAAAGTGTCAATGATCTTTTCAAAGCTTATAAAGTTATAGGATGACATGTCACTCAAGATTCATTTCTTGGATTTTGGATTCATATTTGGACTTTTTCCCAGAAAACTTAGGTATAGCAGTAATTAGTTCAGACAAAGTTCACATCAAGAAATCTTTACAATGGAGAAAAAATACTAGGGCAACTGGAGTCCATGTTTGGTGTATGACAACTGTTGGACATTTGGATATTTCACAGGCAAAATACACCAGGTAAGTCTCAGTAGCTAGATTTTAGGTGAACTAAATTAGCACAATTTTGCTTGGTAAAAATGATTTTAAAAATACAAAACCATAATTCTCTTGAAAACAGGAGATACTAGACAAAATTTGAAGCTGTATAAGAAATCAGACCTAAAATACTTTTGAGTTTCACCTTTTTTTATGGGAATCATACGGGAAAATATTTTTGGTTATTTTCCAGTATTATTATTCATAACATGCCATGGAGATTACTATTTCATAGCATTTATGAAAAGTAAAGTTAAAAAGTGTTATTTTTTCTATTCCATCTCTGACACTTATTATATGCTGGTACACTTTACCTAGGTCCAATCCTGGCTTTTCTTTGAATTGCTATAATGTATTAGTCCTGGAAAAGAAGTTAGAGCATAGAATGTTACATCTGAGAGCAGCCTCAGAACATATCTACAACATATGTCTAAGATCTGTGATTTTATCACTGACCTACAGAAGGCAACCCATTTAAAACTTTATAGATAGGTCTAAAAAATTATCTGGGGCTCACAGATCTCTCAGATGTGATTCCCATGCAGAGAAGTAATTTCAAAGTCCCAGAGAGAGGGCTTATTTCCCTGAAAGAGAATAAAACTGATTTGGAAAACTCAGATCAATTTCCCTTTATGGGATTTAGAATTAGAAGGGGCTTTATAACCTATGTAGTCCAAATGCCTCATTTCACAAAGGAAAAAACACCCGGAAAGGGAAGTGACTTGCCTAAGATAACTCAGCAAGAATTCTAGTCCATTGATTCCTAACCCAGTACAGTTTCCATGATGCCATAATACTATCTGCATACCTGGCCTTCTCTCATGGTAATGGACCATATGAAGAAACCAGACTGTTTAGTGAACCTGCATTTCTAATTTGCTAGTATTTTTTTTTCCTGAAAAAGCCAGTGTGGTTATCTGCCTTCCGTTTTGAGGCAGTCTTTAATGCACTGATTATTAATAGTGAAAAATAATATTGTAATTCATGGCTTCCAGGTTAAATCCAAGCAAATTTTATTATACAAGTAAAAAAAAAATCCCTTAAAGCTTTGTAGACAAGAGTTTCATTTGCTTACCTCAAAGCCAGCAGGCCTATGAGTCAACTCACTGTCATAGACACTTTTCTTGTCTAAGTCAAATACACATTTTTTTTAGCTGTGCTGAAACACAGTCAGATCTGTTATTACTAATGCACCCTACCTCTTCATTTAATGAAACTCACTGAGAGGAGGAAATGTTCGCTAATATCAACAATATCTAAATGGTTTCTGAAAATATCAATTCTTGCAATTTAACAAAAGACCTTGAGGAATATCACCGTGGGTCAGCAACATAGTCTAACTAGCCAAGCTTTCCTTCTCTGACAGGGCCAGCCAAGGATGGCTGTCTCTGTATTACCTCAGAGGTTAGGAATGGTTCCCAAACATCCCATGCTAACCATAATCATTCATTGTGGAGCTTAAAATCATAAATTTACTTATAACCTATTAGAACCAAATTCTTTTATAACTTCATATGTTACTGCATATAGTTCTTTTGATATTTATGTATACATTTCAATTATTTTCTGTCTCTATCACCTCCTAGAATAATGAATTGCTTAATTCTACTTCCTGCAGGGTTGTCAAACTTCCTTTTATTTACTTCATCAAACTGTAAGGGGAACTATCCCCTAGTGCTAGAATTGTGGGATTTGGTGAATTATTCCATGTTCATCCTTTGCAGACTTTTTGTGATTTTATAAATTTAAATAATGTTCCCATCAGTCTTTCTTTTTATGGAATGAGGTCTTAATTTTTTTGACATCCATTTCCAGCATATCTACTTCCCTCACTGACCCCTGTAGCATAGACTCTGTAACCTGACCATGGTGAAGCAGTGACCAGTTTGGTCCAAGTTCTGGTCTTGGTTCTGAGGATAACTCACTTTTCTTTCTTTCTTTCTTTCTTTCTTTTTTCTTCTTTCTTTCTTTCTTTCTTTCTTTCTTTCTTTCTTTCTTCTTTCTTTTCTTTCTTTCTTTCTTTCTTTCTTTTCTTTTCTTTTCTTTTCCTTTCTTTCTTCTTCTTTCTTTCTTTTCTTCCTTCTTCCTTTCTTCCTTCTTCTTCCCTTCCCTTCCTTCCTTCCTTCCTTCCTTCCTTCCTTCCTTCCTTCCTTCCTTTTCCTTTCTTTTCTTTTCTTTTCGGGCTAGGCAATGGGGTTAAGTGACTTGCCCAGGGTCACACAGCCGGTAAGTGTTATGTGTCTGAGACCAGATTTGAACTCAGGTTCTCCTGAATCCAGGGCCAGTACTCTATCCACTGCTCCACCTAGCTGCCCCAATATAACTCACTTTTCTTAAATACTTTTTTTTCCTGTATTTGTTGAAGGCCCTGGGTTTTTCACTTCCATAGTTTGGAAACCTTTGATGAAGTGTTTGGGTAAGTGATTTTTGTTTTTATGAACCTTGGTTTATTCTTCAGTAAATTGGGGAGGTTGTATTAGATGATCTCTAATATTCTATGTTAATATGTTCCAACTTTCTATGTTCTAAAGTCCCTTCTAGTCACTTCTGTATTCTAAGCTTTAACATTCTGTGTTCTAAGATCTAATCCAGCTCTAACATTCTGTGGTTCTGTGGGAGGTTTGCTATAACAGGAACTTGCATAGAAACATTTAACTGTGTAAATGCAAGCTAGCATTGTTATTATCAGTAGTAACAGTATTAATTGGAGGAAAACTGGAAAAGCAAGACTATAAGCTACTTGAGGGCATGGACTGCTTCATTTTTGTCTTTGTATCAAAGGCACCAGCATAGTGCCTGGCACATAGTAGGTACTTAATAAGTATGTATTTATTTATTGATTGATTGGTGTTATACTTAGAATAGATGATTACCGAAAGGTTGCTCTGTATAAAATTACCTTCCTGACTTATTGAGAATTTTTGAAATTTCACCATTAGAACCTTATTTTTTCTGGCCTTTTAGGATTTTTTAAAAAAATGTATGTACCCCTGAAGGAATAACATATCTAGCTATCAGCTATTAACATCTTAGTTAGCTGCTAGCATAATTTTCCAGATATCAGTAAACCAAGAAACCCTAACAATGACCAAAGCTTACCAACATGTTGAGTTGGTAGTGTCAACCAAGTAAGAGATGTCTTTAACCAATTGGAAATGCAGGACTGGAGCCTAGCATAAGGTCACTCTGGGACTGGATCAGAACTCCAAAGGAGAAAAGGTAAAGGGAGAAGAGCAGAGGGCTGTGGACCTTCATCTTTTGAATGCTGGAAGATAAAGGATCAGGTGGCTTCCTGAGAACCAGGAATGTAAGGTAGCACGTAAGTATCAGTGGAAGAGAAAATGGTTTGACAATTTAGTTAAAGGATTTGTTGAGATAAAGCATCTCCCAAGTGTCAAGAATGAAATATTGCTCACCATGTGTTTTACTTAAATTCCTTAATCATTGTTATTAATTAACACATTTGATGATTTTTTTTGTAATATTATATTTACCAAAGATCAACAAAGAGGAACATTTTCGTATGCAAATAATAGAAAATGAGAATTGTATGTGATACTCTGAATATCATAATGCAGTCTTTTAAAAGTATTTCATTCTGGAGCTGTTTAACCTGTCTGTGTTGTTCTCTGAACTCTCTTTCTACTGTCTTTTGAGCATTTTAATAAATGCTTTATTGATTCTCTTTCTAGTCTATTATTTCTTCACTGGTTTTCTAGAATCATATGTACTCATTGCACTGATTAGAGGATTACATCTTTCAAAGTTGTTTTTCTTTACAATATTGTGATTATTGCATAAATTATCCTCTCTTCTGTTGGCTCTTCTTCATTCCATACAAGTATGGTAATTGAAGATACCGCAAAAAGAGAAGCATTATAATTTCCCCCAATGCATGAGGACATATTCTCCCCTACACTATCTCGGTCTTTGGGAAGAAGGGGCTCAGAGTTAACTTGGTTTCTAGATAATATTTTAGGTAACATCCATAACATTCTAGATATCATCCCATCAGTTCAGCAGCAAATACTACATGCTGTGAGCCGACTTCCTGTCTCAGCTACTGAAGGGTTGTATAGGGAAGACCAAAGGGTTCTCCACTTATGTCATTGTCTCTTTCCTCTCACCCAAATGCCAGCAGTCAGGAAAATAAGTCAGACCAAGAGAAGGAAGTGGTTCTCTTGTACTATTGCCTTTGAATGCTTTCACTGCCTCCCTTTCCCCTGCACCCCAGTTTCAGCTATATAGCCAATCAAGGAGACACCTCTTCACTATGTTGTTTACAAATTGAAACAAGTTACTGAATGTCTACATAACTCTAAAGTCTATGTAGGTATTTCATCAGATGAACATCTTATGCATGCTAAAAAGAGTTCTGCTCTTTGGCCAATCCCATATAACACAATGCTTCTTTCAATCTGCATCTTACATAATTTCTTGAGAGGAAGCCTAGTGTAGTTGATAGAGTTCTACACTTTGAATTAAGAAGATCTGGATTTAATCCTGTCTTAAATATGTACTAGCTATGTAATAACCTTGGACAAGTGACATAACCTTTCTTGACTTCAGTTTCCTTATCTGTAAAATAAGAGCTGGCTAGATTTGGTGACCTCTAATGTCCTTTCTAGCTCTAAATCTGTGAGCCTATCGTGTAAGATCATTATGGCACAAAAGCAGTCTATTATTTTCATAAACCATGATTTGTTCTACCATTCTTCAATTTATGGGACCCCCCCCAGTTTCAGTTCATTGTTATAAAGCAAAAGGAACTGCTATAAATAAACACACAATATATGTGTATATATATATATATATATATACATATACATATATATGTATATGTACATATGTACATATACATATATATATACATATACATATATATGTATATGTACATATGTACATACATACATATTACTCTCTTTCATTTTCCCGTGATCTCTTTAGGTTATACTCCCAGTAGTATAGTTACTAGGTCTCATGAATATATAGAGTTTAGTGTTGTGATTTTTGGGTATAGTTCCAAATTACTTTCTGGAATAGGTGTACAAATTCAGAGCTCCATGAATAGTACATTAGTTTGTCTGTCCTCCCATAGTCTGTACAATAATAATTTTTTAAAAATCATCTTCACCAATATGATGGAGATACAGCAGAGCCTAATAATTGTTTTGATGTGCATTTCTCTTATTAGTGATTCATATTATTTTTATGTGGTTGTTAATATCTTGCTTTTTTGAGAACTGCTTGTTTATGTTTTTGGCCATTTATTTATTAGGAAATGGCTCTTCTTATATATTGTTCAAATATATTGAACAAGAACACAAAATATTGAATATCAGACCTTTATCAGATAAACTTCATGCAACTATTTCCCTAGTTTATTTTTTTCTTTTTAAATTTTAGCTGCACTGATTTTATTTGTGAAAAAGCATTTCAATTTCATATAATTATATTTATGTATTTTATTTCCTGTGGTTCTCTCTATCTCTTATGTGGTCAAGAACTTTTCCCTTATCTATTGCTGTTCATCTTTCATTTTCAAAGAGGACCAATAACATCACGATGTTGCGGTGAAATAGTGGATGGTGGGTGATGTCTTGACTTGTGCCTGAATTGGATTTAAGGGAGGTAGAATTGTGCAGAGTTGTCAGTCTCACTCTCTCTTCCAGAGTGATTGAAGTCCAGTGACAAGACAGTGTCAGGATGATTGCTGACAGCCCAGGATGCAGTGGATGACCTTGGTGTCTTTGGTATCTGACCAGGCTCTAAGCACTCTCCAGCACCTGCCTCAGCCACCTTCATGGCCATTGGGAAAAATTGTTTTTACCTGCCCATTCCACCAGAGGAAGTCTTCACATTCTTGGGGGTAGGCATCACTCAACTCACTGAAGAGTTTGAGGTCTGTTGGTTACCCTCAACCTGGTTTAGCCCATCTACCAAGATGGTTTTACTGGGGTGTGGCCACGGCACCTGCTACAGTTTCTTGAAGCCACAGGTAAGAGTTGGGTGATAGGTGGACACCAAAGATCCATAAGGAATCCATAAGCCTTGACATCAGAAGTGCTAGTCCTCCCTGAACACCCTTGTTCTTCTAATTTATTTATGTTGTGAGTTTTAAAATATTGATCATATATTCATTTGGAGCTTTTTGTGGCATATGGTGTAAATTGTTGATCCAAATCTAACTTCTGCCAGATTGCTTTCCAGTTATCAGCAAGCAATGAGTCTTTGCCTCAGAAGTACTAAACTATGCTACTACATTCACTTGCTTCTATACGTTACGTAACTAATCTTTTTCACTTCTATATATTTTTTAACCAGTACCAAATAGTTTTCATGATTTTTGCTTAATAATATAATTTAAGATTTGTTGCTCTTAAGCCTTCATTCCCATATTTTTTCATTCTTTACCTTGAGATTTTCATTTGTTGCTCTTGCAGAAGAATGTCATTTTTTCCCCTAACTGTATAAGATAAAGTTTGGTAGTTTGTTATGGCACTGAATAAATAAGTTAATTCTGGTTGTGAGATTTTTCATTTTCATTGATACTGACACGACTCGACCATGATACATTAATAGCTTTCCAGTTATTGAGATCTATCTTTATTTCTATGGATTCTTGTATAGTTATATTCATGTAATTTCCATGTATGGACTGGTAGGCAGCCTCACAAATATTTTATCTATTCTACAGTTATTTTGAATGGAATTTCTCCTTCTATACTTTCATGCTGGGTCTCTTTTTTCTTTTCTACGTGGAAAATTTGATTAGTTTGTATGTTTATTATATAATCTTATACTTTGTTGATGTTATTAATTGTTTTAATTAATTTTAGTTCAATCTCTAGGGTCCTTTAAATAGACCATCATATATCTGCAAAAAGTAATAATTTTGTTTCCTCTTTGCCTTTACTCAATGTCTTTTTTTGTGTTATTCTTATAGTTAGCATTTCTTTAACTGTATAAAATAAAAGTGGTGATAATAGATATCTTTGCTTTTCCCCAGATGTCATTGGACGTCCTTCTAGAGTTTATTATCCATTATAAAAAATGCTAGCCTTTCATTTTAGGTGGACACTATTTTTCTTAAAAAGAACAGGTCAATTTATTCTTTTACTTAAATTTTTAAAAATGCATGTGTTTTGTCAGAAGCATTTTCAGCATATATGAGCAAAATTGTGTTTTTTATTATTTTGTTTATTAATATGGTCTATTATGTTTATGGTTTTCCTAATATTGAAACTACCTTGCATTCTTGGCATGAAGCTTGCCTCATGCACATTTTGTAATTTTGAAATATGTTGTTGTAGCCTCTTCATTAATATTTCATTGAACATTTTTGATAAATATTCATTAGGGATTTTGATTTATAGTATTTTTTCCTGTGTTTGTCTCTTTCTAGTTTAAGTATCAAGGCCAAATGTATATCATAAAAAATATTTAGCAAGATCTTTTCTTTATTCAAGAAACAACTCATGTGATGTTAGAATTAGCCTTTTTTGAAAGTTTGATAGAAGTTATTCATAATCCATTTTTCTTTTTTCCTATAGAAGTTCATTTATGGCTTAGTCAATTTCTTTTTCTGAGATTGGGTTACTAAAATTCTCTATTTCTTCTACTGTTAATCTGGGAATTTTATATTTTTGTAAATATCCATTTTATTTGTTACAAATTTAAACTTATGCTTATACAAAATAGTTTCTGATAATTTCCTTTATTTCCTCTTTATTTTGTGTATTATTTTCATTTTTGTTATTGGTGATTTAATTTCTGTCTTTTTTAATCAGGCTAGCTAATGGTTTATCTATTTTATTAGTTAAAACAATTCTCATTTACTTATCAATTCAGGTTGTTTTTTTTTTGCTTTTAAAAATCTTTTGTTTGATTCTCAGAATTTCTGTTTTTGTATTTACTTACTATTTTCAAAGATGTGTTGCTTTTTCAAATTGCAGTTCTAAATTTATTTATATGTTCTTGTTCTGAATGTCTTTAGTTATATAAATTTTCCTATAAGTCAGGACTTCTTAACTTGGATTCCAAGAATTTATTTTAAAACATTTTGATGACTTTTTTTCAAGATAATTGGTTTCTTTTGTAATCATATATTTTATTTTATATGTTTAAAAGCATTATCCTGTAAAGGGGTCCACAGGCTTCACTGGACTTCCAAAGAGGTCAATAACACAGAAAAATGATTAAGAACTCTAAAGAACTATTTTGGTTATATTCCAAAGGTTTTTGTATTTTGAATTGCCATTTTCTTTGGTGAAATTATCTATTACCTTTATGATTTGTTCTTTGACTCACCAATTCTTTAGGGTTAAATTATTTAGTCTTCATATAAATTGAATTTTTTTTGATGTCCTTTTAGTAGCTCCAATTTTTATTGTATTATGGTCAGTAAAGGTTTTATTTAATACTCCTGCTTGTCTGCATTTGTTTAGGGGGTGTTTGTGCCCTAATAAATTGTCAGTTTTGTAAAAGTACCATGCTGTAGTGAGAAATAGGTATACTTCTTTCTATGCTTCACTAATTACTGGAAATCTATTAAATGTAATTTTTCTAAATTTTTGTTCAGCTTCTTAACTTCTTTCTCATTTATTTTTTTGTTAGATTTGTCTGCATCTATGAGAGTTACAATGTGATCCCCAACATCATAGTTTTGTTACCTGTTTTCCTCCATAATTAGATTAACTTTTGATCAAAGTATACAAGTGTAATGGCATTTGGCACATATATAAATTATTAATTCTATTTCTCTGAAGTGCCTTCAAGCATAATGTGGTTTTCTTGCTTATCTTTTTAAACCATGTCTATGTTTAATGTTGCCTTATATTAGATAAGGATTGCTATCCTTGCAGTCTACCTGAAGCATAATAAATTCTGCTCTACTCCTTCATTTTAACTAAGTGAATTTTTAAGTTTCATATGTGTTCCTGCTTAATAGCACATTGTTGGACTCTGCTTTCTAAGTCATTCTCTTATCCTCTTCCTTTTTATGAGTGAGTTCATCACATTTAGTTCTTGATTTCAATTGTTTTCCTCTCCATTATATTCTCTTATACTTACCGTTTTTTAACTCATTGTTTCCCCTTTACAAAGAATGTGATGATAAAGAAATAATGTGATCAACACTAGTAAGCTGTAATTAAAGTAATCTGCTTCCACTACACTGATGATGTTACCACAGAATGTAGAGCTAAAGGAGTGGTTGGAGAGAATCTACTCACAGAATAACATGAAGAATTTCCTATTTGGAAGTGAGCTAAGAGACACCTAATCCAACCCATAGCTGAACAGGGATCTCATTTTTTCAACATCCTTGAAAAGTAATCATTTAGCCTTTACTTGATGACAGCAACAGTGGATGAGCTGGACAAGTATTTTGTAATTTCTAAATCTTCTCTTCCCTAGTCTGAGCATCTCCAGTTCTTCAGCCAAAGGGACACAACATTCTGGGTACAGTTTGATTAGAGCAGGGTATAGAAGCTTTTTGCCACCATCCTTTTGTACTCAATTCCTCTCAGTGTAGCCTAAGATCATGTTAGCTTTCCCCCTCCATTTGGCTGCCATATGACACTATGTGAAAAATTTACAAGGACATGTACTTCAAAGAAATCCGAGCAATATTCAAGTCTCTTAGCCAAAAAAATAAGTATTTAAATGAGTTCACATTTTACAAGTTAAGATAAACCATTTGCTGGCAAAATCTGAAGCCCTTCAGGCTAGAATTTTGGGCCAAAACTAGTATGATTAAATATAACAAGAATAAATGTGGAAGCCTACACTTGGGTTCAAGAATTTAACTTCAAAGTCATTTGATCGGGTAGAGCTGGCAAGATTTATCTGAAAAAGATCTGGGTGTTTTAATAGATTTCAAGGTCAACATGAGATAAAGATTGAATGCAACAATGATAATAGCAAAATTTATATAGCACTTTAAGACTTACAAAGCACTTTACATCCATCATCTCATTCGATACCATGTTTGCTGCCAGTAAGAGAAATATAGGAACAGGTTGATGATAGAGCCCACTCTCCTCTGCCCTGGCAGAATAGCATCTATAATATTGTTTTCAGACATGGGCAACACCTTTAAGAAGGATGCTTTTAATACAGCAGAAAGGCACTGGATGCAGAGAGTATTCAGTAATGAGCAGCCAGGATGGTGGAAGGCCTCCAGATCATGCCATATTCTTTTATATTGAAAGAACTAGAAAGCCTGGAAAAGGGAAGACTAATGAGTGACATGCTTAGCTGTCTTCAAATATTTGAAGACATATGGAAGAAGGCTAAGCCTGGTTTTGTTTGTCTTTGGAGGGTAGAATTAAGAATAAAGAGTGAAAGTCACTGAGAGCCAGATTTTGGCTTGCTGCAAACTGATGAGAGTCCTGTCCTTTTGAACATGCTTAGAATGCTCTATTTTATCCATCTCCCTACATGGTCTTTGGAGCATGTGCAAACATGCTGTTACTGTTTTCTGTTCATTTACCATGGGGTGAAGAAAAGAACCTTTTCAACTGCCTGCTGAAATGGAACTGAGTGTATATTAGACTCCCATGGATGCAGTTTTTTCTTCATTTTCCTCCCATCCCCCTTTCCTTCCATCTCCTTCCTCTTCCTTACTCCTTTGTCATTACCCCCCTCTTCTGATCGTCTCCCTGTCTCTGTCTTTCTCCTTTCCCTGTCTCTGTCTCTCTTCCTCCCTCTCTACCTCTGTCTGTCTGTCTCTTCTCTCTCTTTCCTCTCCCACTTCCTGACAAGGCAAAAGGACAAAGATATAGGGTTCTGACTGGGGACAGAGGGTGTAACGGCACTGGCAGTGGCCTCTTGCTCACAACTTTCTCTCTCCCCATTTGGACCCACATATGGCCATGAAAATAGTACTTTTTTTTTTTATCCCTTTGCATTTGTTCTTTCTTGCTCTTCCGTGAAGGAATATCTGATCTATCTAAGGGTAGGATAGATTAGCTAGGTGGCACAAAAGATAAAGCACAAGGCTTATAGTTAGGAAGACCTGAGTTCAAATCCTGCTTCAGACACTTACCGGCTATGTGACTCTGGGCAAGTCACTTAACCCTGTTTGCTTCAGTTTCCTCATCTGTAAAATGAGCTAGAGAAGCAAATAGCAAACCACTCCAGTATCTGAAGAGTTGGATAAAACTGAAATAACTGAACAATAACAACAGATATTGGAATACTCTGCCTTGAGAGGAAGTGACTTATCCTTCACTGAAGGTCTTCAAGCAAAGGCTCAGTGATCATTTGTC